TGATTTATAAAACACCAAATCAGTTATTTATCTAGTAGGGTATGAAGTATATAGGTGTCTATCTAACAACTGTCAAATACCTATCTGTCTTCTATACATCTTCCCATATACTCCCTGTGAAGCTACATTTCACAGTGGCTAAATGCTTAGGCTCTGGAACAAACAAATCTGATTTCAACTCCAGTCCCTCCCATTTATTTCAGTGTGACTCTGAACGGGTGGGTTTCTCAGTCTTCCTGAGACCTCAGTTTTTCCTTTATAAAGAGATGATAAGAAATACCTCTCATTCCACTGTTTGAAGCTTTGGGTATTAGATGAAACAATACATGAAATGACTAAGCACAGAGTGTGAAGGATTAAATGTCTAGTAAACAGTAGCTATTGTTTTGAACAGAACCTTTCAGAGCTCAGATCGTTAAAAACAATAAGGAAAAAAAGGCTTATATACCTTCAGCCCTTAAATTTGCAAGTCTATCAGTAACTGCCAAAGACAAAAAGAGTGTTGCATGAAAGTCGTTGAAAATAAGAATTACCTATCCGTACTTTCATGGAGCAATCAGTTGTGATGGTCAAACAAAGGCAATCACTGTAAGCTATTGAAAATATAGGTGAGTATTCTGAGAAGCACACAGAAATCTGTACAGAGTGCTAAGACAGGTGACTGGGTCAGGCATTCAGAAAGGGTAACTCCTAATGAAGTCTTCAGGGTAAACATGAGTTCATCAGATAGGAAAAAAGAAGAGTCATGCTTGGCCTTGGCTTCCAGTATTCTTGGCAGGAGGCTTGCATGGAGTGTCACCATCAGCAGCATTATGGTGGGGAAGTGGTTAAGGCCCAGAAGCTAAGCAAATGTTTCTGACAGATTTGATTCTCACATAGTTAGAAATCTGAGACTGACAAACTTTTAACAGAAGAACTGCTAATAAAGGACAAAAGCAAAGACCCATTTGAAGGAGAAGGAGGCGAGATTCAGCAGAAGCATACATCAAAGAAGAGAATACAGGGAAATGTGGTTATCTGTTGGAAGGACTTAAAAAAAAAAAAAAAAAAAAAGGTGAAAGTGTTCAGAACACACAAGTCACACAGATGCTCAGACACTGTCTAGCAATAATCCTACAAACACCCAGAAGGGAGTCACTTGGTTGTGCTCTCCTTAAAAAGGGACTTCCACAGAAGAAGAAGGTAGGAAATCAATTAACCTCCTTGGTTTCATTTAGCTGCTGGTAGCCACATACATGCCTGCCTACCCTTAAGACAGCAGTCTAAATTTACTTTTTTTCAGTACAGCAGCTACTCATTCCTTCTCAAGGTATCCTGCTATTGATGATAAATGACACAGTTACCATCTTATTGAGTACATTCAACAAATTACTGATTTTACATAAAAGGTTAGGACACACAGCTTTACAGTAGAAAATACATTTCATGGTACCAAAAGCACCAGTTGAGTAGAAAATCTACCTCAGAGAAGATTTTGGCCAACCCAAAGCAAGTAACGCATGCAGTAAGTAGGCCGGGCATGGTGGCAGATAACTTTAATCTCAAGGGGCAGAGGCAGGAAGATCTCTCTATGAGCTAGAAGCCAGCCTGTTCTACATAGGAACTTCCAGGCCAGCCAGAGCCTGCCTCCGCAATAACAATAACAACTACTACCACCACTATGTTACAGATCCTACCAGGATTATTTATCAGCCAGGGCATGAATTAAAAGGATTCAGCGAGAAGCTGCCAGAGTGAGAGTACAACATCACTTTAAAAACACTGTAGTCCACCGCTTACCTTGAATCTGAGCCTTAACTTCAGGCATATAATAAATCCTTATGAGAAAGAAGCAAGCAAAATTGTAGAAAGAATCAATCAGGAAATCCAGGACATTCTTTCAGAATGCCAGTGAAATGTTAAACAGGTAGGGTAGCAGAGCCTTAGGAGACACAGCTACCAGACAGATGCAATGTGTAGTCCTAAAATTAACCACACCTAAATGACATTTTAGAAGAACCAGAGGAATCTGAACATAAACTTAATAGTGGCTTTACGTATAACTTATGTGCTGTTATTAACTATATAGCAAAATGTCTTTTTCTTACAAAGATATACATAATGAAATGTCTAAGGGTATACAAGATGTTATAATTTCTGTATTATTTCAGGAAAAAATCATCTAATATAAGTAGGTATATGCACTCACATAAATGCAACTTAGAAAATCAACTTATTTGCAACCCCAGTATAGAAAAGTAAGAACACATAAAGATTTAAATCAGCTTGTGCCAGGGACCCCACATCAACATTAGCTCTGTCCAACCAGCAGGTCCATTTTTGTGCTGTACTCAGTTTAGGCTAGCAGAATTCTAAGGCGGTGGCTTTCTGAGGTGGAGAAAATGCCCAGGACACCAGTCAGCCTACAACAAACATTACAGTAATATGCAAAATTCACCATTAAATAATCGGTACATGTCTCAAAATCTCCAAATCCCACTGGGAGAATGTCATGAGAGACGATAGAGGCTGTCTCAAGAGAATATCTACTGAAGTCAACAATTCCATGCAAAAGAAACATTTCAATGGTCTACCCTGGAGCAGAGGACAAACTAGGTTCTTTATGGACAGCCATGGCCCTGGTGGATATATAAGTATCTGATATTGAAGTTTTGACTCCCTGATAGCAAGGCCTCTCTATAGGCAGAATCATAATTACAGATAGTGAGTAAAGAATAAAGAGATAGAAAAGGGAAGAGATAATATTTAAAATAAGCACACAGAGGTTTGGTTGAACTTAGTGGTAGAATGCTTGCTGCATATGCAGAAGGTTCTAGGCTCAATTTCCAGCACTAGAAAAGAGAGGGAAAGAGGGAGGGAGGGAAGAGAGAAGGGAGGGGCCATGGAGCATTACTTAGAAACAAAATCTTGTTAGTAAAATAAAGGGCAGAAGGGAGTTAAGGGAGAAGCCGAGGATCACAATGAGGGTGGAGGGTAAACGACAGGAGTATGAGACATAATGAACAGGAACAGGGGAGGGCAGATAAACACAGCAGCAACACAGGGAGACGGGTGAAATCTGAAATGGTAAAGGAAACAGAAGGACAGAGGAGGCAGGAAGGAAAAGACAGACAGCTGGTCAAAGGTAGAGGAGGCAGAATTGGAAGAGACAAGAGACAAATGCAGGTTTTCTATCTATGTACTCGGCTCACAGAAACTTACACAAAGAAAATGAAGAGGGAGGGAAAAGAGGTGGGTAGGGGAGGTGGGAGGGTCTAGAACCTGAATGGTGTTGTGGAAAAACGGTCAGGAGGGAAGGTCAGACAGTAATAGCACAAACCAGCTGACTGCACACACTAGAGTGCATGTTAAACAGGATAGGTGGAATGCTGCTGTCAGTCTAGAATGACACAATTCAAACTATCAGATGATATGAAAGTACTTCATTCAGGAAACACGTCTATGATCTGAACCATAATTTGTCTTATGCAAATGCCTGGCAAGGCAGAAATGTAACTTCATTGTAAAAAGAATGCACAACCTCTGGGCCTTCCAAACAGTCCACTCAGGGCCCCTCACTTTACTCTTAGCCACTGGGTCACTCTATAATGGGGACTGACTCAAGGCTATGGAAAATTTCCCATTTGTGTCTAACCAGAACCAAAATAAAGGGGAATGGCAGATTTGCCTAACCAATGTAGACAGATATCTGACTAGAGAACTAAAAAATCAAAAATAACAACAACCAATTTTATTTTCCAGATCTTAGCTATCTAGTTAGATAGCTACAATGATTTTATATTAATCCCATGCTGAACTTCATTCCTGTTATGCACATCTGAAGACAAAATTAACAGATCTGTTTGGATACAAATCTTTCCCAGGACACATGAGACTGACTGACAGCTCACATAATTCAGGAATGCATGCAAAATTAAAACTCACAGTTTTCTTGCAAAAAAAAAAAAAAATTGTCTATCAATAATGGTTCTTCAAAAGTAGATAAAGGTCTGAAAATTAGAAATTATGGAGTCTTATGTTTTGGGAAACCATGATCAAAAACATTTTTATTGCAATTTCTAATCCATGTCCAAGGCTAAGATCAGAATTTTTACTAAAAAAAAAAAAAAAAAAAAAAAAATGTTGCAAGGTTTCAAGTTGCAATGTGCCTTTGTTTGTTTTCTATTGCTGTAATAAAGACCATGGCCAAATGCAACTTGGGAGGAGAAGGATTTAATTCATCTTATACATCCAGGTAACAATCCCTCACTGAACAGTGGAAATTCAAGCAGGGCAGGAACTTGGAAGCAGGAAGTGCAGCAAGGCCATGGAGGAACACTGCTTAATGACTTGCTCTCCAAGGCTTGCTTACCCTGCTTTCTTATAGCACCAGGACCACCATCCAGAGGTGGCACTCCTACAGTGGGATGCCTCACAGCCTTACCTACAAGCCAAATTGATGGAGGCATTTTCTCAGTTGAAGTTCTCTCCCTTGTGTCAAGTTGACACAAAAAGAAAAAGGAAAAAACAAACAAACAAACAAACAAACAAACAAAAAAACACAATGGTGCACAGATTTGTGGATTAGTGGCTTGCAATTTGGGGAAGAAAACAGGGTAATGACAATCAGATCACTAGGGCCTTCCTTTGCTTTAAGTAAGACACAGTGAAAGAAATACTGTTGGAACTGCAGGTGTAGCTCAGATGGTAGAATAGTTGCCCACCATGAATGAAGTCCTAAGTCCGAGCCTTAAGATACACAATTGGTATAGTGATACATTCCTGTAATCACAGTACTCCAGAGTTGAAGATAGGAGTACTGTGAGTTCAAAGTCAACCCCCCGGGGCTACATGAGACTTGTCTCCAAAAACAGAAATAGTCTCTATCATATGACCTTAGTACCTTATGAATGCACCTACACTTAATAGGTTTGATTACCATAGGCACAGCACAAACTCTATTGTTACAAATATCACAGAGCAGCAAGCAGTTTCTCAGGGCCTGCAGTGCAGATACTCACTATTTGGTGGAGTCAGATAACTGATACTCTCGTCGTCTATCATAGCACTCCTGGATTCCAGGATCATTCCACAAGCTCTTTATTGCATCTACATATGGATTCTCAAAGGCAGACACCTTCTCCACATCAACTTCTCGGACTAATTGTGCGTGAGCCTGTTAAGAGGGGAAAAAAAGGCAACTGAATACTTGGAACATTGCTTTACCAAGTCTTTGATTCACACTTTATATTGTATACAATCCAAGTGATATCTTAATAAACCGGTTTTCAAAGTGGCTCTTAATAACGTGTCTTCACCTAGCCCCAAACCATCCTCTCTAGAGGAAATCGGAGGCTAAGGCTATTAGAAGGAATAGGTGCAAAGTTCTTTCATCATGACAGCTGGGATACCCTGCTGTGGAGGCCAGTGAGCTAAGTGGTTATCACAATCCCCCAAACAGTTGCTCCTAACTATCCCCACTACTCTGACAACTTGTTACAACCACCCACTTTGTCCTTAACCCCTGAGGATCTCCATCAACAGACACTCATAGTCCTCAACTAAAAGTAGTCCCTGTAGTTCATTTTCAGATGGACCATACCACCAGCAAGAGAAGAGTTTAATGATTTAACTCTGGTAATTCTTCTTGCAGTCTGGCATGCCTTATGTTCCAAATACTTGTATCTGCCATCTCTATATTATCAAGTTGAGGAACCTATTGCATTTTTTAGCAATCAAATAGAGCTTTGCTATTTTCATTATAGTATATTTAGCAAGAAAAACACAAAGACATTTAAATTTTCAACAATAATAAGCTAACAATGTTTTATATTTTATTAATAAAATGTCATTTATCTTCAAAGTAGCCAGAAAACACTATTATTTAATAACACTAATCAAATTAGGCTTCACCTAGTTCATTGAAAATTAGACATACATAACAAATATACAAACACACTAATATAATAATTTGGTAGTTGGGAGCAGATGGCTGATCATTATTGAAACAATTCTGATTTTGCATTTAAAAAAAACTAAATAAAATTAGTGAATGGCTATCATATTTATATGGCCAATTATTCCTTTCATCTAATATTAAGAATAAACATTGTGAGTAAATGCAATTCATGTTGTGGCCCATCTAGATCTCAGTCTTCATATAGGAAGGCCCTCTTTCCGATAATAATAACTAATTTTGACTTAAGGTTTTAGGAAGTTCAATATATTTGAGATCAGGATCCCCTTTGTTATTAGTTTTGCTCTGATCAAGAAAATTGATCTAGTCACTGAAAAGTCTTGCTCCAGTCTGTCTTTCACTGTGGAAAACAGATCCCTGAGGTTTCACATCTATATCAGTCAGCCCCACTGTCTTTCAACTGTGGAAAACAGATCCCTGAGGCTTCACATCTGTATCAGTCAGCCTCAGTTTAGGCAATCTGCCTTGTTAACTACTAGCACCCTTGTTAGCCTGGATGCCTGCACCTGAATCCTATCACAGGCGGGGCCGATCTTATCATAGTTCTTTCTGAGGCTCAGCTTTCTATCTGGAAGGCCTTTCTTATTCATTTCTAACCCTTTTTAAAAATGTTTCTGCTCAGGGGCTGTGCCATTTGTCATCACTTATAGGATGGCCATTATGATTTTCCTCTCCCCCAAAAATGCTACTTTTGTGTACTCTGAACCATGGACCTTTAACGTTTTGCTGTATGCTGGTTACTATGTCTTAATTTATCTCACTTCTAGATTACACAGTGATGGAAGGAGATGAGACCATAAAGTTCTCATTTCTTTGGGGCTCAGCACAGAATGAACATACAGTAAATATTTAAATACATTTAAAAGTATATATAAATACAATGTGACTACCTACAAGCCATAGTTTCAAGGAGAACTTCCATCTTTACCTACTTTCTCAGAATTCTAGTATAGTACAGTTAGTATAAGAGTCTTAGTAGCTTTTCCCCCCAACATAAAAGTTCAAAGGAAGACTCAGGTTTGTAGTATCACAGTTCGTTAGGGTGCTAATACTTAGTAGAAGCTCAATAAACGCTTGCCCATTGGATGAACACAAGGATGAAAGAAGAGTGGAAATAAACAGTGCTACAAATCAAAAGAGCTAACTTCTGGTTCTGGCTTCAGCTACACAATCACTTTTACCTGTAGCAGAAATTACTTTTGCCTTTTTTAAAACTAATTTTAAATCTCCTCTATTCATGAACAAGATGACTGTAATTATACCATAATACATAAATGTTAAGAGATTATGATACTGTCCCTTTTTTACAAAAATTTATGTTTATTTTATATTATGTGTATGGGTGTTTTGCCTGCATGTATGTCAACTGTATCACATGCATGCCTGTTGATCACAGAGGCTACAAGAGGGTGTTGAATCCCCTGTATTGGAGTTACAGGCAGCTGGGAGACACTAAGTTCAAGAGCAACAAGTGCTTTCAATTGCTAAGCAATCTCCCCAACCCCAACACTGTCCCTATCTGAGCACAGTTTTCAGAAGAACAAGGATTTACTATTTTAACTAACAACCAAATGAAGTAACATGGACTGAGTGAGAGGCCAAATGAGGAAGCATCAAAGAGAGGTTATTGCCCGCTGGATAGGATAAAGCATGGGAGCAATGTGAGCAAAAGGTCAATGGATAAAAACTATGTCTCCTTCTTTCAAGTGCAAAAACAGATTCAAACAACCCTCTATTTGGACAGCCCTGAGACTTGTCACCACCGTGAATCCACAAATCAGAAGTCACTGCAATGTCTACAAAAGAACATCACCTCCAAACACATTCCAATCATCATGCTGTCTTCATGCAGAATAGAATTTCTAAGACACTTTTACTACCTCCCAAGCTCAAAATTCTATACTTGCTGCTTTGGAAAATGACTCAAATATAATCAAGTATAAATTGTATTTATGTAAAAGTTTACAACTAAAGTTCTCTAAGTTTAAAAGTATAATGGCATTTTACAAAATATGCATAGAATTAAAAATTGTTAATTTAATGTCCCATTGTCAATTCAATCATTTTTGTAAAAAAAAAATTTTGACATAGAAATATTTTTAGTATGTTAGAGTAGGAAAATAAGTTAGAATCTTCATCTTATTTGTCCAGTGTCAAATGTGAAAAAGTAGTAAAAAAAAAAAATTCTAAGTAGTGATGCTAAATTGAACAATTATTAATTTTAAAAGGCTATTATGAGAAGGAAAGAAGTTGCTTCTAATAATATAATAATCTTAGAGTTGACTTTTCTATTTCAAACACAAAATCAAAGTAAGTTCTTTAATCATGTAAACAAAATGTCATTTGAAGATAGAGTTGGGCACACTGAGTGGAAGTGTTTAAGGATGGATTCGGGCTTTCAGATTCTTAGCAAGCTGGTCCAAGTTTGACAAGCGAACTCTAAGAAACAGTGAGTTACTTTCAATACCTCTGGCAGAATTCTAGAGAAGATCACAGAGAAACCACAAGATGTACCAAATTAATTCAGGTAAATCTTATGTGTTAATATTTCTCTGGTTGTGCCTGCAGAGGGAAAGGTCTCGCTCTGCCCGCTGAAGGCAAGTGTTCAGATTAAATTAAAAAAAAAAAAAAAGGTCTCACAGTCAGTGCTGGAACAATTTGTTGATCACTTAAGAGAGGGTCAGGCTATTCTATTTTCTATACTCCAGAAGTAGAAAATCAAGAGGTAACTTTTGTATTTGCTGAGAGTCTTTAGACACAAATATTGAGCTTTGTATGAAGAGATAACCACTATGAACAGGTACTCTGTCTGTGTCACAAATAGCAGGGATCTCAATCAATCAGTCCTCAATTCTTAACTGAGGCCCCACTGTCCTTCATTTTATCCCTTTGTTGCTTATGTCCTCTGGCATTTGAGTCCTAAGCAACATATAACAAAACTGTAGACAAAAAGGTTTTTCTGCACAAGGAAGCTAATGCTACAAACCCACCTCCATTTAGTGCCAGCTGAGGATGACCTCCTTCAAGCTGCTAAACATCTTCTAAACCTGTTTCTAGACATCCTCCCCCTCCCCCTGCAGTCTCCCATGGTGTTACACTGGAATACTGATAGCATCTGCTTCTCTAAAGGCTAAATTACAGAATCACTGGGGCCCAGAAATACCTGTGGGTGGTGGTGAAGAGGCTTACACCTAAAGCTACTAGTAATTTCAAAGGCCAAAGAAAAGAAAATGTAAGATCAACACTACGAACTATGGCACATGCATGTATATGAGCCCCTGTGATGTTAGACAAGACATTCTAGTCTCGTTTGACCCAAATGTGAACCATTCTGGAAGCTCACTTATACAGGATCTCTGAAGGCTCAACGTTTGCAAATACCCTAAAGAAAACGGAACATAACTTGTTATCAGTCTTTGCCTTCCGACTCCACAGCTGCACAGCTGACCCTCTTAGATGTGCTGCAAGCACAATTGCCATTGCATCTTTTTATGACTATTACCAGGCCAATGGCAGAAAAGGGGAAGTCACACAGAGCCACTGCTGGCTAGGGTCATGCCATGAATGACTCATTCACACAGAACCACCTCTTCATGCTTTTGATTTTTATTGGCTCAATTGAATACTATGATGAGGCCCTTGAAGTCCCCAGTGAAGATTATAGACCCCCTGTGTCAAATACTCCTGCAACAACCAAGTCCTTCTTAACCTAGGTATTAGATGGAGACTATGGGGTCTCTCTGAAAACAGTTCAGGGATCAACAGTAGAAGAAGAAAGAACACAAGTAACAACCTGAGATCAAATACAGCCTGTGCCCTAGGGTGGGTCCCTCAGCCTTCCTCAAGTCTAGTATTGTCATCTACAATGGGAACAATTTGCTACTGAAAAAGAGGTGTTAGTAAGATGCCTACTACAAGTATTAGAATGGTTATAAGATCTTAAGGGACTTAAAACTATTACTAACCATTACTTCTTTCAATAGATATTTGTCTCTCACATGTCAGTCAATGCCCTAAGGCCTGGTATAGAGTGGAGAATTTGTTATATGCTATATAAAATGTTCTGACAAGAAAATATCTGATGAAGTTAATTAAGCAGCCACATACTAGTCTATTTGCAACATATTGACACATTGTTAAATGTCCTCTAACATTAGATTTTCATTTTTAATATTCATGCTGGTACTTGTCAAAGCAAT